CACAAATGGTATATTATCCAACCATAAGTTTAAAAAGGAAATCCTGCCAGTGGTGACAACAGGGATGGAACTTCAGGGCATTATGCTAAATGAAACAAGTCAGACAAAGAAAAACAAATATTGTATGGTATCATTTATATGTGGAATCTACAAACTCATAGAAACAAAGAATAGAATGGTTGTTCCTAGGGACTAGGGGGTAGAAAAAAATGGGACATGTTTGTTAAAGGATACAACTTCCAAGTTATAAGATGATAAATTCTAGGCATCTAATATACCAAATTGGAGTATAGTTAACAATATTGTATTATATATTTGAGAGTTGCTAAAAGAGTAGCTCTAAAATTGTCTCATCATCCCCCCCAAAAAAATCTGTAATTATGTGAGGTGAAGAATGTGTTAACTAACCTCATTATGGCAAATATTTCACAATGTTACATGTATCAAATCATTTTATTGTGTATACCTTAAACTTACACAATGTTGCAAGTCAATTATATCTCAGAAAAGTTGGCAAATCCAAAACAATATTTTAGAAACAGAAAAGCAGCCACAATAAAATATCTAAAAATCGAAATAAACTCTTCAAATTTAGAAAAATAAATCTAACTGGATTTTAAGTATCTCAGAAAACATAAAATAAAAAGGACTTGGAATATTTAAAAAAAATAGCCCTCATTCAAGTCTAGAATGGTGTTGCTTAGCCTCAAATGTGGCACATATGGAAAAAACAGCATATAATCTCCCCTCTGTATCTGTGAGTGCTATATCTGCAAATTTCACCAACAGTGATTGAAAACAGTATTATCAATCCACAGTTGGTAATCCACAGATACAGTAATCCACATATAGCAGGAGGGCCTGCTGTATGCTTTGTACTACACCATTTTACATAAGAAACTTGAGCATTCACAGACTTTAGTATCTGTGGGTAGTCCTGAAACCAATCCCCCCTGGATACTGAGGGACAACTGTACTTACAAAAATTTTTGTTAAATTCTGAAAAATTCACTTTATAATATCACATGTTCTTGGTTACAGAGATAAGAATGTGAGAAAAATCTAATAATTATAGGGCATCAAAGCTTAAGAGATTTAGAATTGTCAATCTAGAGTTTTCACCAAACAGAGAAATATGCTTACCAAATTAAAAACATTTTTAATAGAATCATTTCATCATTTTAGCAC